AGAGGGCTTGTGGCATATCCCACAAGTTTCACTAGCAAGGATCAACCAACTATGATGTTTTAATATGCTTATGGAACCTTGGTGGCAGTGTGTGTGCTGCCTGTAAACTCCTAAAAGGGTAGTCCAAGAAGGGTCCATGAATTTAACAACCCCCGTTCTCCACTTTGGTCTGGTCTCATGCTAAATGCATGGCTCAGCTGCAACTCAGTTGGTGCTCCGGGATCCTGTTTCATCCCAATAAGAACCGACATGGCAATATGTGTGTTTTAGAGTTTCAACCCAATATTTACCGACATGGCCATATGGGTGTCTTGTTTCGGTGGTGCCACTTTGGGGTTGGAAAAGAGGAACACCAAAAGGAAGCCACCCATTTCTGGGGGGGGGCCACCCTATTTTGAGCCAAACCCATATCTTGCACCTTTTTAACCAAGCGTTCTTGTCCATCTGGATCTGGGCGAACACGACCGTGGCTTCGGACAGAGATCTTGCCGATGGGCAAGTTGCGACACGACATCGATCGGACGACATCATGCAGTCTTGGTCTTTAGGCAGATGAAGGTCTTTGGGATCCAAGCCTGCGAACAGCGCACAATCTTCGCCGTCCTATTGGAAGCTTTTGGACCCGCAAGGTCCGTTCAGTGCGGCCCCTAAATGGGTCCTGAGAAGCGGGTTCGTGATTTTTGGAGGGTAGTTTCTGAGGTTTAAATTTGGAGGGCTAAAAGGAAAATCACCAGTTTAACACAAGCCCAAGTGCGAGTTGGTCAACTGTTTGATTTGTCCATGGCTCATATGAACCGTCCATTTCTGCGAGCGATTCCGAGCCGGCCAAAACGAGGGAAACCGGTCCTGAACATGGGGATGCCATTCGTTGACTTGGTGGAAGGTTTATCGGTATACCTAGACTCTCCATGATCCTTAAGAAATGGGGTCATTACCGAAAATAAAGGGGTCATGACCCCATTTTTAAAGGGTCATGGAGACTAGGTAGGTGCCCCAGCTGGGTGCCCTTCTCCCTTTTTCTTGGGGGATGGTTCCCCTCCTAGATTAGACTACAGAAAAGTTGGTACCCTTGATCTAACAGCTCTACTGAAGGACCTAGTCACTACTGGACTTTTTTTTGGCAGGGGGCTTAAGCAAATGGAAGGAACTAGTGTAAATTTGAAGATTGGAACCTGTTGGGGGTTTTGAGGGTCCTGGTACAGGTTCTGGTCAACATTCCTGATCTGCAGTGATTTGCCTAAGATTCGCTAGGGAAATGGTTGTTTTTAACCCCCTAAGCGTCGACCAAACCAGACACGCTCAAAATTGCCGTGCAACAATGCTCCACTTTGTTGACAGCAGCTTGTTGTGGCTGTGTCTTTCTTGGAGGAAACCTGCTGTTTTGTGGTTTGAACGGAAAAGCAACTGGGAGCCGATCTCATTTTGGGGGTTCCGAATCCTACACAAGTCACGCCCTTACACACTGCAGATGAAATGGACCTCAGCTTCGGCTCGAGGAATCCACGTTTTAAAGAGCTGAACCCTCAAACTACCCATCAACAAAATGGATGTTATTCCATATCGTTGCTGCAAGGCCTCCCATTTTGCGGGAGAGTTTGAGGAAAAAAAGTGTTGGGGGTAAAAACACAACTTGTTCTGGGAAGCTTCTTGGGGTCAAACAAAACCCACATCTTTGCCGCTCAGATCGAGTTCTTCGAGTTTGTGGAGTGGTTCTGCACGAATTGAGTGCCGTGCCCAGAAGCGGACCGATCGAGACTCCAGGCCATGTTCGCTCTGGAAGTTGTTACCCAAAAATATCCAACGAGAGGTAAGTGGGCTATACCTAGAGTCTCCGTGACCCCTAGAAAAAGAGGTCATGACCCCTTAATTTTGGGCAATGGCTCATTTTTTAAGGGCCATGGAGAGTCTGGTAGCCAGAACCATGGTGTATATGGGTACCTGGGTTTTGTTGCCTGGATGCTTGGTGTCCGTACCGCGGTCAGAACCCACTTTCCTGACGGTGAACATCCAAGCTACCTTCCTTCCCCATTCTTTCCAGGGATCCGAATTTCTTTCTAGAAAACCACCAAAAACCCTGGGGAAATGGCGGTGGGTGTTTGAAACGAACGATGGCTGAAAAGAATGGACAAGGAATCAACCCCTGTTTAGACCTAGAGTCTCCTTCTGACCCTTAATGGTTGGTCATGAACCGAATCTTTCTGCATGAAGGAGACTCAAAGTCTTTTGGGTAGTCTGACCAACCATTGTTCAATGAGGAATCAACTCCTGGAAACATGGAATCACCTTGTTTTTGGGGCGACCACCCCTCTTCCCCCGTCCTCTTCCGCTTCCCTCGCCTGGGGCCTGCGCATCGTGCGCCAGCCAGAAAGTCCTTGGCCTGGGTTTTCGTTCATTGGTCCAGGCAAAAAAACAAGCGCTGCAGGCCCAGAAGGCCTCACAGGTCACAGGATTCGGCTTGAGACATGGACCTGCTTGGTTGTTGGGTGTTTATTTTCTTTTAAAGGGCAGTTTTCCCATTTTGTACCCAGAGGCTCCCGATTGATTTGGGGCTCCCAAACATCCAGGTTTTGAAGTCCCCAAACACCTCCGGGGTGTCCAATGGAGGGTCTGGGGCTTCTGTTGAAATGGGTGGGACACATGTTACATTTTTGCTTATTGTGGATTAGTGGTTGAAATCCAACCACTTAACTGCTAGAATTTATTTTTTGGGGCTCCCCTTCCAACGTCAACCAAGTGAGGTCTGATAGATGCCTTCTGGGACTTAGCCAAATGGCGGCCTGGGTATAACCCACACGGGGACACGACGCCATGGATTAGAAGAAGGCCACGCGATTCGTCCCGGACCATCGAAGTGATTGCCTGTTGAGACAAAGTGAAAGCGCCGGTAAAAGGAGAGTGTCCCAGCCATAATTAGGTGCATCCGCCCTTCGGGTTTTCCACAATTTTCATAGACTCCTTCAAGTTTTCATTATGAGACTGTTGAACATCCAGCAACAGTTGTCCCATGTTTTGCCAAACTCGATCCACCGATGTATGCGCATAGTTGGCTGATTTCTCATTATTATTGTCAAACCAAGTAGCAAGAAGGACCCTTTCATCACTACCACAAAAAGCTTACATTTCTTAGCTGTTTGAGGGGACCATTTGAAGCATGTTCTAACAAACGTGTTGTGAAGGAAAACCACAATTTGCTGGGGTCCTCTACTTTGACACATACCCATGGTGCCTGCTAATTTTGCAATCCCAGTTTGTGGCTCCCCAGATGGGTATCGCCGACTTAGTGACTACCAAGGTGTAGGTTTCCCACCGGACAATGCTGTTCTGTAGTTCCTACCCTTGTTCAGTTTCAGATTTGGGAATAATTGTCGGAGCACATGTGTTGTATTCCTGCTCATTGATTGAACGTTATGGAACATGATACCAAAATATGTTTGTCAGTTGCAAGTTGTAAGTTGCAAGTTTGTGTGTGTGTGTGTTCCCCCCATGTTGGTTTTGCGATTCCCTTTACCCACACAAACGGGGATGTACCACTTCACTCTGCAAGTGGCTGGTAACGCAACCACTCACTTGGCCGCATGCCCGCGTTGCCCGAGGCAGAGCTCGAGCGTTTCACTTCTTCGGCTGGTTCAATCAGAGCTGGCGATGAAGCAAAAACGACCGTGACTCATCACCGGTTCTGTGGCCTGTGTTTGACGTGTTTTTGTTTACAGGGTTTCCGAGCCATTTCCCTCTAAAGGGAACCCCAAAGTGGCGATCGTTTGAGTGCCTAGACTCTCCATGATCCTAACAAAAATGGTTGGTTCTTGCCTGGGGGTCAGATTCGGAGACTCTAGGTGGACACCGGCCGGGAATACATAACTCAACTTTTGAATTGGTTGGACATCCTTTGTGACTGTCCAGTGAACTCCCTGGACCCGTATCTCCGCAGGGCTCTGAAAAAAGATACGTTTTGCAACCAGTTGAAACATGTTGCTTTTTCAACACCAAAAGAAAGGGAAACCACCATTTACAAGGCAAAGTGTTCAGGTGCAAAATGTAAGGATCCCTGCTCCGCCACCCAAGGTTCGAAAGGAACGATTCAATCACCCTAAGGGTCTGGATTGTTTTTGGGCCCTAACTGGTTGTTTTCCATTGCCGGGGGTGTGCATTGGAGGGGTGACCCTTAGGGCAGCTGAGAAGGTTGCAAAAACAGCCGCCTGAGGGTGGCCATTGCTTCGAGGGTCCTTTATTATTGTTTACTCCTCTTGCAATACCACGATCAACTTGAATGATTCGGGTTTCACAAAACGGTGGACCCTGCTGTGGGGTGGTTTCGAAGGGAAAGCAGAAGGAAACCACCCCTTTGGGGGTGCCTATTTGTCCAATGCGACGCGACTTTGCCACAAAAATCGCGCCAATCTTCTGTTCGTGTTCCGTCGGTGACATCCCTTGCTCATGCTGGGTGCCAGATCCTCCGAAGATAGCTAAAAGCAGGGGTCCATTTCCTAAGGTGTTTTTTTGGTTTGTGTTGTTTTTTTGTTTTTAACAAAAAGCAAAAATAAACACATCCCCATCTGGTTTTACAGAGAATCGAATTCACCACTGGACATGTTGTTTTGTTGTTTTGTTTCTTTTTCAGGGGGCGAAGAAGCTAATGGAAGTCAAAGGATATATTTGTGTCGGAAGGATCAGGGTTTATGAACTGCAGTTTCCTGGGCGGAATATATGCCCACTGACAAGATGTGTTTAAACAACAACCCCCCTTCCCCCTCCCCTTACAAACCGGGAACCCAAAGGAGGTGGTTTAGATCGTGGGTTAAACATGTACCTAGAGTCTCCATGACCCTTTAAAAATGGTTGGTCATGACCCCTTTATTTTGGGTAATGACCCCACTTTTTAAGGGTCATGGAGAGTCTAGGTACCGGGGGGCTTGGCAAGCCGAAGCCGGAGGCTGGCAACCGAAGGCCAAGAGCGGAGCCCAGGGCTTGAAAGTTGAGTCCAGACCTCGCACCACCTGAGAAACCATGGTGGAAACCACAACTTACCTCTTAAAAACACAACTTTTCAACTTTGTTGGTAACATGGGCTATATGTCTGTAAAAGATTAACTTCCCCAGGGCTTGGAGTTTTAAGGGGTAAGATAAGGTTTGTTTGGTTTTTTTACTTGGGAAAGTCAGGGGAATCCAATTCCAGGGTTTGTTGGTATTGCACCTGAGAGACCCAACGGTTTCTGATGCGATTCCCCCACGTAAATACCGATAGGGGTTATTCATGGTTTCTTAGGCGGTCAGAAACGGATTTTGACCATCCACAGCACCTCGGGTTGCATCACCAGACCCCTGGAACATTCGAACCTTAAGGAACACCGGACATGCTTATGGAACATTAGAGGTGCAGAAGCTCCAAAGATGGCTTATCTTGACTGTTCTTGGCATGTTTTTTAGTTTTTTAGTTTTTTGGTTCTGTTCATTTTTACTGGGGGTCTGCAAAAAAACAAGTTTTTTGCTACCATACCAAGAGTAGAGATGTTATGTGTCAGATTTCTTCTTTAAGGTTTGGTCTGGGGGGTCAGTGGGGGAAGTCTTGAAAACCCTGAAACAATGATTCAGACACTTCTAGTGGTAGATAGAAAGTCCAGACTGTTTTGGGCCAATCCACTCGGGAAGTGAGGTCGTAACCCTGTAGGTGTTGACCCTCGCTTTAGGGGGCTTACAGCAATCCGAAGTGGGTTACAACCGAACCCTCCTTCCAGGAATCATGGAAGCTGACATTTTTTTGGCAGACGACTTGTCTTTTGGAGAACCCCCCTGTCCACCTCCATGATTGGAGGGCCGAACATTCAGGAACCTTGTGCGGGTTGAACCCCTCTCGCTCGTCTCTCCCGAGCTTTTGGCACTCGGCATCCGAACCGGACACTTGCATAGGCCGAAACCAAAGCGATGTGTTTTCCACACAGGCGACCACGTGTTGGGCCAACGATAACAGCTTTAACAGGAGACAGAGCAGGCGCAAGCCTCATCCTTGGCACGCAAGACATGTGTCTTAAGCTTGTGGCCGGCTAGAAGCAACCTATGGGCCTTGAAGCGTACCCATGGCACGGCCAGAAAAAGAAGAAACAACGCCATTCCTCATGTTTGCATTCTTGGCATCCAGGAACCTCAGTTGGTCTCTAGCGATTCCGCAAGCGCAACACCAAAACGTGGCTGCGGTAGTGGCCTGCGCTTCATCCGTCACGTTTGGCGATTCATGGCAGCGGTTGCCATGGACCGGCTCCGGGGCTTGCAGAAAAATGATCCGATCCGTTTTCCGGGTTCTAAGTGGACTAGTTCGTTTGTTAAAAGGATACCCCAAAAGGCGGGAAGACATATTGGTTATTCGCTGCAAAGTCCTATTTAGAAGCCAGTTGTGTCATGTATTCTTTCTGACCGTGATTTCGTGGGCCAAAAGGGAACCCAAAAGGCAGAAATTCACTTTTTGTTTGCTCCAAACTCCTATTTGGTATTCAGTTGTGTCATTTTTTTCGTTGCCACATTTTGGTTTGGGCGAACGAAACATGTCCTTTTGGTGCCATGTTTTGGCTTGGACATCCAGGTAAAGCGGTTTTTATCGCAACTGAAGGCCCCAGTTGGGGGGCCCTTTACTCTCTGGGATGGTAAGGCGAAATTTCCAGAAATCGCAGCTCCTGAGAAACCATGGTGGGGTGTGTTTGGTTTTTTACATGAGAAATCAGGGGAATCCAATGATTCCAGGGTTTGTTGGTATTCCACCTAACAAAGGCTGCAACCATGGTCTCAAAGTGATGCGAAATGGATTACCACAGGTACAAAAACCTCTAAGTTGGGACAAAAGGTTTTCTCTTCTTTTTTGTGTGGCAAAGACATGTTGTAGACTCTTCATGAACCTTCAAAAACGGGGTCACCCGTTCCTTTTGGGTAATGACCCCCCATTTGTAATGGGTCAGAAGGAGAGTCTCGGTATCTATACCTTAGCGCAGGGCCGCTGGACAGTGATCAGCTTGTGGAATCCAACAGCACAGCCTACTGATGGACGACATCCAGAAATCGCATCACTTTGAAACCAAGGGAAACCGGTGGTTTTTTTTGGTATTGACAGGCAACTCATCCTTCGAAAAGGCTTTCTTAGGTGGTGCGAAATGGAGTTCGTCCATCCACAGTATGAGGCCCTCTCTTCAATCTGCCCCCAGGATTGCCGAAGAAGCTGTGAAGAAGACCTTTCTAGGGTGTTGTCCTTTGTGGAGCACTTAAAGGATATTGTATGCTCTTGAGCTTGCCCAGAGCTTCACCTTTTGCTGGACTACCCAGGAAGGCTTCATGCATTCGGATTTGGATGCATGTGGTCCAAAGACAACACTTGGGTTCCTGGAGTCTCCATGACCCTTTAAAAGAAGGGGCTGTATAACCTGGACCCTCAAACTACTCTGACAGATCTGACCTCACCCCTGGTCGGGGCCATATCGATCCAGGACGTGCCGCGCACAATGCTCCCACCAGGCCGGGAAGGAATCAAAACCTGGGCTCAAGTAAAGAACCTACCTACAGTCTCCGTGACCCCCAGAAAAAGGGCCCAATCTTTCTGTTGGGCAGTCTGACCAACCATTTTTGTTCAGGGTCAGATTCGGAGAGTCTACGCTCGCCTTTGGGTTCCCTCGGGTCCAGTTGGCCCTAAACGTGATCACCTTTCTTTGCCTTGAGTTCCGGGTCAAAAGGGGCAAGTGAGATGCCCCAAACGAGCGGGGCTCGAGCTGGTGTTCTTATTCGATCCGAAGTTTGTGGTCCCGGCGAGCCCTAAAATCTATGGCCTGCGAGTCATGGAGCCCGGAACCGCCTGCATATGTGAGGCTCTCGGATTGGGCTTGTTTTCCGAAAAAAAAAAAGAAGGAAAAAAAACAAAACAAGAAAAAACATGGAGCCCGGAACCACCTGGCTATGTGTTCAAAGCGACCCCTTGAAAAATCCTGGGGGGGGGGGTTGTTCAAAGCGATCCCTTGAAAAATCCTGGGGGGGGGGTTTGCGTTGGGTGTCCCTAGTCAACCCCCAAACAGGGTGCTCTCGAAGAAAAGATCGCCCCCGGAATCGTCTTTGCGCATCGGGGAGGGGGGGGGGAGGCTGACATGGACACATTCTACGGGAGTAGCGCCTTGCCGTCGCATGAGAATCATCGCAACACCGCAACGGAATTTGGTTTGGGACCTCGTTGCGATTCCCGGGTCTTCTCGAGGGACCAATTTGTGCCTCAGGGTGGACTAAATACGACATAGAAGCAGCCACACACTTTTTTTGGTGTGCCTTAGATGTGGGTCAAGGTTCCTTTTTTCCACTTTTTTTGGGAGGCCGGGGGAGAGGGTGATACTGTGGGTGGACGAAATCCTGCACCACTTAAATCAACGAGTTAAACAAGGGTGTAGAAGGACCCCCGCTCCCCATATTCAATGTTGCTTTGATGGGCTGTAAAGGTGGTGCAGGATTTCGTCCATTCAACTTCTTTTCCTTCAGCCTTCTCACCGGATGCCAATCCTTGTCAGCCTGTTGCTTGGGAGGGTACCGCTTTTCGGGGTTGGTTGACTGGGCAACCAAAAGAACATGACCCAGTTGGGGGGAACCCCTATTTTGAGACAACCCCGTCTGACCCTTCAAAAATGGTTGGTCCGGCCAATGCCGCTTCTTTTCCCCCATTGCACATACTGAACTATACCTTTGTGTGTCAGAAACCCGTCCTTGTGGCAGCCGGGGGGGGGGGGGGGTCGAAAAGACAAGCCACAAGAACTTTCAGTTTGCCGATCTGTCGGGAGTGAGTAGGATGCACCTCGTTCCTCGTTGGGCCGGATTCGGCCAGGCTCGCAGGCTTATCCTGCTTCTGTGCAAGGACAGATCTGGCCATGCCTAGAGTCTCCTTGACCCCTTAAAAATGGTTGGTCATTGCCCTAAATAATGGGGTCATGGACCTCTTTTTAAAGGGTCATGGAGACTCTAGGTGGTTCAAAACCGTTTTGGGATCCCATTTTGGGGTAGGTGAATTCACCCATTTTAGAACCTACTCTAGTGGGGATTGGGCTGTTCACTGGGGGTACGATTTGGGTGTTGACCCATGGCCATCTAGAGCTCTTTCAAACCCTTGGCAAGGTATAGTGAGTACCCGGCTAGCAGAGTTGATACCTAGGAAGGGAACTTGTTCAACGCCGTCTGCTCAAAACAGCACAGATTTGAAGGTAGACTACATATCAGAGAAAGCATGTTAATGTTGCACCTTGGTTACTGTGGCCCCCCTTCCCCTTCCCCAGAACAGTTAAGACAGTGCTCGTGGGTCCTGAAGAAAGGTCTGGCAAACAGCTTGGATGACCTAATCATTGCTTTAGTATTGCCAGCACTTCCTGGTGGACTAGTCTAAATTTAGCGTTGCTGGGACTTACTCTCAGATTCCCAGTGCTTAGTTGCTGTGTATTGCCTAGTCTAAATTCCGTGTTGCCAAGACTTATTCTCAGATTCCCAGTACTCAGATTCCCAGTACTTTCCTGAGCATTGCCGAGCCTAAACTTGATGCTGCTAGAATTGACCCACCCCAATACCCCCAAACAGTCATAGGCAGATCACTGGCTCCCGTGCTGACGGCTATATTATCAACCAGCGTTTGCCACACCATTCAACGGACATGGGGTCAGTGCGGTTAGATGGTCCAAACCTCGCAGCTCGGACGGCAGCTAGATCCCGGGTCCCAAAGCCGAGAATTTTTGGGCGGGGCCAGATTTTCGCAACACGCCCGCATTAAATGAGTACGGGAACGACCAGTACGGTAAGCTCCTGGGATTGAAACCGAGAGGAAAAGCATGGGATTGGGCTCACATCACCACCAGTCTCCATGACCTTCTTAAAAATGGTTGGTCATGGCCCAAAAGAAAGGGGTCATGAGCCCTTTTTCTAGGGGTCACGGAGACTCTAGGCATTGTTCACGGAGCCCATTTTCTGGCGACCGGACAAGCCAGGTAACCTGGGAGGAGGGAGGAGGGGGGTCAAGCGAAGCTTGTCAGACTTGCTCCAAAACCGAGAAACCAAGTTCAAGGAATTAAAGGCCGAGCTGGGAAATCCATTTTGCCAGTGGTCCCTAATCCCTCAAACTTAAGATAACTACAAAACCAAGCCCAAACAGTTGCAGCCAGGAGGGTGCCTTCCCATCGCTGCTAATAAAAGTCAAAATGCAGACCTGAACAGCAGAGTTCTGAATCAGTTGGGCGAGCAATAGCACTGATGAGGCAACACCAACTCACCCAGCACCCAACTTTTTCCTGGCTTTGGACTTGTTGAATGTGGCGTTGTTTCCTTTTGGAATGGAGGATCCCATTTGCTCAGGTACCTAGACTCTCCATGACCCTTTAAAACTGGGTTCATTACCCCAAAGAAAGGGGTCATGACCCCATTTTTTGAGGCCCATGGAGAGTGTAGGTAGACCTTAGTTGGTTGTTCGGGGGGCGGGGATGGTTTGGGAGTTTGTGGTTTCGCCCTTTTAGGAAGCTACATGCAGAGCGCTCCCGGCCAAAGCGCTCCCTGCCAAAGCCGAGCCCCGAGTTGTCCGAAGCAGCTTCGGCTCGCCTCTCCTAACCACCTGGTTTTGAGCACCCTGTAGATCCCAGTTGTGCGACCAGCCATAGGTGTCCGTTTTAGGTTATATAGTTTGGTTAGAAATAGATGGCAATGGTTTAGATTGGTTTTATTCCATTTACCAGGGCCATTTGTGTTGTGGAACCAGCTATTTTCCTTTTGGTTCTCTTGGTTATGTAGGGAACATGGAGTGATCGGGTTTGGTTTAGCATTTCAAGGATTGGGATGTTCCATACCAAGACAGGCCCGGGACATTGGTAACAATTTACACAAAGCACAACCCTTCAAATCCCTATTGGGTTCGCGACAATTTCGGATGAGGTTTCTGAGCAAGAAAGGGAGGGTTCAAATGTTGACACGGAGCTACTAGCCCCTGGTTAGTTGATAAGGGCTCGTCCCTCTATGTTGCACCAGGGGAATTGGAGATATGGCAGTGATTTTTTTTGAGGGGTCTGTAACAGAGCCGCGGCGGACATTAGTTACAGACCTCGTTACAGACCTCTCGTTACACACCCCTCGTTACACACCCCTCGTGGCACACCCTCGTTACACACCCTCGTTACACACCTCAGATGAACAAACCGGGCCAGTGACATGACTGCCCTCTTCTTGCCGCAGCCTGGCTTGTGTTGAATAGCTGCAGTCAAGCTGGAGCTGCGGAGGCGCTTTGCGTACTGTGCTTTGCTTTGCCTCGTTACAGACCTCGTTACATAGCCGTTACATACCTCGTTACAGACCCAACCCCAGCCCGGGACAGCGACCCTGCTTTTTGCTGCAGCTTTGCCTGCGTTGAATAGAGCTGCGGAGGCGTGCTTTGCGTGCTGCGCTTTGCTTTGCCTTGTTACAGACCTCGTTACATAGTCGTTACATACCTTGTTACAGACCCAACCCCAGCCCGGGCCGGCGCCCCCCCTTTTTGCCGCAGCTTGTGTTGAATAGCTGGTGCTGCGGAGGCGCGCTTTGCGTACTGCGCTTTGCTTTGCCTCGTTACAGACCTGGTTACACAGCCGTTACATACCTCGTTACAGACCCAACCCCAGCCCTGGCCAGCGCCCACTCTTTTCGCCGCAGCTTGGGTGCGTTGAATAGCTGGTGCTGCGGAGGCGCGCTTTGCGTACTGCGCTTTGCTTTGCCTCGTTACAGACCTGGTTACATAGCCGTCACACACCTCGTTACAGACCCAACCCCAGCCCGGGCCAGCGAGCGACCCTGCTTTTTGCCGCAGCTTGGCTTGCATTGATGCGCTCCTGATTCTGCTTGTCAGGATTTTTTCCCGTTACAGACCTGCGTAACAAGGACCTCCGTTACAGACCTCCGTAACAAGATTCGTGCCGCGTCGCGCGTTACAGACCCCTAAAAAAAATCATAGCCATATGCTTTCTTTAGGGTTTGAGTCTGCGCATCCACCTTTTCTGCATGTGGCGCGCGTGTCACCCCTTACATAAAGGCAATCCTTTGCCTTTTGAAGATCCCCCCTCCCCCCTCGAGAAAAACTAGGTCCCCCAGTAGTGCCCTTCTCTCCCATTTTTTCGGGCAGGGTTCCCCTACTAAAATAGACCAAAAAGACAAAAGGGTACCCTTATTCCCACCTCTCTACTGGAGGACCTAGTGGGGCTTTTCGGGTTTGGACCATAGCGGCAAACAAGACAGGAAGCGAGAAGACTCTCCCAGATGTCCAGGTGTTCGTTTCCCTCCCCCCCCCCCCGCCCTCCCACAGAAACTCCGTTGCTCGAGAAAAAGCAGAGCATCTGCCAGCTTCTGCGCGGTCAACAGCTTTTTTCCCCTTTTTCGGCGGATCCCCACCAGACCTCTGTACCTAGACTCTCCATGACCCTTAAAAAATGGGGTCATTACCCAGAATTACGGGGTCATGACCCCATTTTCTAAGCGTCGTAGAGAGTCTAGGTAGACATTAAAGGGAAACCGACCTCGGTTTTTCCTTGGCAGTTTCCAGCCGTGCGGTTCCTTAGTTTTTTCACTTGCTTTCAGTTGGTTTAAAGTGGTTGGGTGTCCATGTATCCCAGTAAAGGTCATACACATTTCGCAGGGGACCAGTTTGGACCGCACCTGGACTCTCCATGACCCTTAAAAAATGGGGTCATTGCCCAAAATATTGGGGTCATGACCCCTTTTTCTAGGGGTCACGGAGACTCTAGGCAGTTGTTTTTAACGTTCGCCCGCTGTTTGCCGGACGTCCTTCAGTCCAGCAAGGTCCAGCTTTGACTTGCCGAGGCATGGCGCCAGTGACGCACGAGATGGTTCCAACGAGGCGCAGCGGCTTGCTGAAAAAGCGGCTTTCGCTTTTGTCGGGTTCCGGAAAAAAAACAAGAACTTGCGGCTCCCGAAGGGTCGATGGATGGTTTTTGGGCCCCTGGTTGTTTTCCATTTGACCCTCTGAGGAATTGGTCGGGGTTCTCCATTGGAGGGTCCGGGTCCCGGTGTGCATTGGAGGGGTCATGACCCTTTGGGCTGGGCCCCTTGCAAGCGCAACCTCAACTCGCCTTCCGACCAATTAGCGTGGCGCCTGACAGGGACGGTTCCAGCACACCCCCCCGAACGTCAGGTTCTTGGTGGGAGAGTTCCTTCCCCTGGCGTTCTCCTAATAAGACCCTAGAACCCACTGGTGGAATCTAAAGTTTAAGGTCACCAGACGAATGCATCGATGAATCATTTTGAGTTGTTGTGTCGTGTCGTTGGGTTGTACCAATGAGGAGAGGAGGATCTCACAACAACTTACAATCCCATCAACGGTCCACACTTCATACGGAGAAGTCCCCCCCCGAATTTGCCCCGTTGTTCTTTTTTGGTGCGGTAAGTAGGGGGGGTGGTGTTTGCCAGTCGGCCCGCGCATGCCCGGAGGCAGCCGATCACCTCCCACAGGCCTTCGGGGATGTTGCGAATGCGAGACGGCGCTGGCCGTTTTTCGGGGGTGTCCAAATACCTAGAGTCTCCATGACCCTTTAAAAATGGGGCCATGACCCCTTCAGTTTGGGCAATGACCTCAATTGTTTACCGGAGAGTCTAGGTACAATTTGTTCTAGGGCATTTTGTGAACCTGGGTTTCCCCATGTCGACATCATACCCTAACAAAAGAGTGTATTTGGAGTAGGGGGGTACATTGGGGTGTTTTTTTTTTCTTTCTCTGCCCCCCCCAGAAAAGAAACACACCGGCAAATGGTGGGTTCTGTTTATGCCATCCCCCCCAACACAAAGAAAAGAAGAATTGGTGGGTCCTCCGTTTGGCTTCCCGTTTTTCCCAAGCCAACCAATCGGTGCGCCCTCAAATAACGCCGACTGGGTTTCCTTTAATTTTCCTTTTGCTTGGCTGGTGCTCAGTAGGGAATGTGGGAATGAACCGGTTTTCGGGATTCCCTTAAAGGAAACCACCAGTTGGATGGTTTTCTTGGTCATTCCATGTCTGATTCCCGAAGCCCAAAACCACGGCACCAGCATGACGGGCGTTCTCCAAAAACGGACACCTATAGACTCTCCTTCTGACACTTCAAGTCCAAAAACGGCACCTAGACTCTCCTTCTGACCCTTCACAAATTGTTGGTCATGCCCCGAATCTTTCTTTTGCGTACCTGGCGTCTCCTTCTAACGCTTGAAGCATGGGTCCATGACCCCCATTTTTTTTGGTAGCGACCAACCACTTTGAAAGGCTCATGGCGAGTCTAGGTAGTCTGTCCCGGCCCATTTTTCAAGGGATGGGTATTTTTTTACTGACCCAGACGAAGAAGGAAACAACGAAACACCAGAAAAAACAAAGGGAAAAAAAAACAATTTCAAGACGATGAAGGAAACAACAAAACACCAGAACAAAACAAAAAAACACACTCAGATTCGGTCCAGCGGCACCACGCCGGTGGCCTGAAGGCTCCCATTTGTCGTCTTTGTATTTTGCGCGATCCATGGAGGGTGCGAGGCTGCAGCAGTCCTTTGCCAAAAAAAACCCAAGCGAGGTAGCAGTCGATTGTGTTTATTATTATTATTACTATTATTATTATTAGTATTATTATTATTATTATTTTGCGAGGTCGATCGACCAGGCTTTTCCGGCATCGACCAGGGTTTGCAATGTGTCACTCCATAGTTCTGGTTTGTGTGCACATGTTCGACGCCCAGCATTTGTGTTAGCCCGGTCAAAGCTGTTCTACTGACCTGTTTGTAGTATGAGTTCGCACTACGTTTGCAAGTATGGTCCAACTGAGTGATTTGCTTGCCTTTCCTTCACAGGAGCTGTTAGTGTCAACTTCGGAATTTGGTAACACACGACCGCGACATTTCTCCTAATGATCGTGAAATTTGCGAAATGACCATGACATCGCGACGCTTGCCATTTTTGAGAAAAGCGAGGACGGATTTAAGCATTCTCTTTGGTGCATGTTGCTTGGATGTTAGGACTTTAACTTTGCCAACTAATTTAATGGGTTTTCCAGTAAACCACTAAAAGTTAAACTTTTAGCAGAAAAGCAGAAAGCCACCAAGTTCTCCAAACGTGTGCAACATTTGCCAACAATGTGCTCTCTGGCAGCACTTCGCAGTTCGAGGGAACATGAGGGCCATGCGGGTGTTTGGGCAAGAGGTGCCCTGTGTATACGTGGAACAAGATGCACGCCGAGACACGGCAACAATGACCAAGCTCTCTGTTGCGGCCCTGACACAGAAGCGGAGCTGTCAAAGTGGAAAAAACCGATCGAGCGTCATTTTCAGCGTCGAGGGTGTGTGAAGGAGTCAAGCGGCGTCAAGCGCTCAAAAACGGGAGTCGAATGAGCATCTGGTGGGGTTTAAGCGCTCAAAAACGGGAGTCGAACGAGCATCTGGTGGGGTTTTTGTTCGCTTAAAAACGGGAGTCGAAGGAGCATCTGCCTGGGTTGCGCTGGGTTTTCCTTTGGGCGTTTTTTCTTTAAACTTCCCGGTTTCCTTTGGTGTTCCTTTGGGCGTTTTTTCCCTGAAAAAAAATCCCCCAGCTCGAAGCAACGCCCGCTGGCACGTCGCGTAGGCCCCAGGCCCTCCTGGACTCCGACCCGGCGGCGCCTCGGCGAAATGTCCCGAGCTTCCGCCAACTTTGCGCTAGGGGCGCCGCTGGGAAACCAAAGCGGGGCCCCGAAAAAAGGAAATTCGTTTTGCCACCAGTTGAGTTACATGGACCGCTTTCTCAACACCAACAGAAAGAAATGGAAACCGCCATGTACAAGTTGCGGAGTGTTCGATCGGTGTATGCATCTGGATCCCTGCAAAACCAACGGGCCAAGGGAGGGAGATGTTGCGGGAAAAGGGGAAAATCATGACTAGGTCCCCCAGCTAGGTGCCCTTTGTTACCGTTTCTTTTTTGGTTGGGAGATTCGGTTCCCCTACTAAAATAGACGACGGAAAACAGTTGGTGCCCTTTTTCTCTCCTCTCAAATCTGGAGGACCTAGATTATATTTTGTCAGAACCAAGGGGAAGCTCGTGATAGATGTTCGGAAGATGGCGGGATACGTTTGGGAAAGCCAAAGGGAAAGCCAGGATATTTTTCTAGAAGATGGTGGACAACCAAAGGGAAAGCCATGATAGTTTTTCAGAAGATGGGGGCAAATGGTGGTTCTGCTGCCTAGAAGGTTTTTCCTGACTTTTTGAAACATGGGTTCATCCGCCAAAAATCAGGAGTGCCCATTTTGAAAGGATCATGAAAGCTTGAAAACTGCAGGTAGAGAAGAATCCTGTGAATGGACAAAAGTCGCATGGCACCAGTTGGTGGTTTATTCATCCCAACGGGTGCGAAGTGGACTCCGATCTGGCGGCTCGGCGCTTCCGCTGCCCACTCTTTGCCGGCGGGGTGACCAGGTGAAACCAAAACCAACGAACCAAGGGAAGGGAGATGTTTGGGGAACTCAAAGGGAAAAACCACCATAATTGTTCTAGAAGATGGGCAAATGATGGATATGTTTAGGGAAACCAAAGGGAAACATTCGGCCAGTTGAAGACCTTCCCAAACGGAGACGCCTCAGGATTTGGGGAGACGCCCAATCGGATGGTCAGGGCAAGAGGGAAAGTCCTGCAAAGAGCAGGTCAAAGCGTCTCTAGGTCAGAATGAATATCAGCAAGGAAGCTCTGCATGACAAGTTTTCTCAAGATGGGGAAAAATGGCGGTTCTGTGCCTACAAGCTCCTTCTGACTTTTTAAAACATGGGTTCATCGCCAAACATCAGGGGCGACCCCATTTTTCAAGGGTCATGAAAACTTCAGGTAGAGAAGAATCCTGTGAATGGACAGAATTTGCATGGCATCAGTTCGTGGCTTTATTCATCACCCCAACGGGGTGCGAAGTGGATTTTGTCCATCACTTGGTCAAAGGCTCCTGGAATTTCCCAGCATGGGGCCATTCCGGACCAAAACGTCCTTACTTCCTGAGTTGTTGGACTTTACGCTTTTAGGAAGACCAATATATTTGGACTTTGTTTGGCCAATCCACCCAAGAAGTGAGGCCTAGACACTATTGGGCACGTTTTTGCTTCTGGGGGACTTTTTCTGATAGTAGGAAATGACGATGCAACAGCAACGCCTCCAGCGACACTCTTTGTCATTGTTTATTGAACTAGGGGTCCAATTTAGCGAAAAGACTTGGGCGGGTTGGTGGGAGAGTTTGGAATTTGAGGGAGGGTGAGCGGGCGGGGGGCATCCGAGAGGAAGGTTTCGGCCATCCAAAAAACATTTGATAAGGGACTAACATGCTTATACACACATGATCTAGGTTGCGCTTCCAGCCACCTGGACCCTCAAACTACCCGTAAAAAAAGGGATTCAACCCCATCATTTCGCGGCGCAGCATATCTTTAAAATGTTAGTGTGAGTGTCCAGATACACATTAATTCTTGCGCTGGTTTCATCGTACCCCACAAGCCAATTCGAGTTGCGCAGGCAAACAAT